AATAGCTTTTTCTGAAATAAGTGTGCAGTCTGGATGTACCCATAGTTCGTAGAGCTGCCTCTGCAGATGCAAGGTTATACATGTGCACAGTTAATAATGTCAGCCGAAATTTTAGTCTTTAAATTTCCATAGTTATATAAACACTGTTTAACAATAGCCATGGTTAATTGTTTCATTTTCTGCTTGTACTTCCAGGAAAAAGCAGGCACATTATAGCCTCATCCTTATTCTTTTCCCCTATCTCTTCATATATTTATTTTGGAACCAGATAAAGAAAGTTTACTCGCCAGTAATCCTGTATGTCATGTTCTTCTCTTCTCCCCTATATTCCAACAGCCTGGAATATTAGTATTACAGTACCAATTAGGAACTAAGAGTCAAAATTTGCCAATCAACAGCAGTGTTTAGACCACCTACTTCCCACTTTCCTTTTTGCAGAGAAAGAGAGTAGAATAAGAACAGACAAGATGTTCCAAACAAAAGTAACTATGGGATTTAGGTTGGAAGGTGAGGAAGCTGTGACAAACAGCATTTCTGTGATGAACTGTCTCCTGGTGTACAGCTCTTCTCTACCTCGCAACAGCCTGAACTATCAGTGCAAACAACAGAAACTCCAGAAGGAGAATTGACTTATAGTGGAGCTTAGAGAACTGCTCTTCCCAATTCAGAACCAGCTCTGAATGTCAAATCCAGCAGAAAATGGCAGATTAATAAGAGAGGCGAACCCTTATAAACAGTGGCAAACAGTGCAAGTCCCTGAGACTGACATAATGTTAGGAAAGTGACATTTAACATGTTTTGGAGATGGCCAGCAACAACATTGTGGTGTTGTGATATTTAGCATTTTCCTTAAAATCTCAGTTCTTGGGGTTATATTATCACACACAAAGATCTCAGCTTTCATTTTCATTAATTAGCATTTGTTTTATGCCCAAAACATAAGGGTTTATATCCTTTCCAAAACTGGTTTTTTAATCCTTTCTACTGCATCTCTGACTATTTTTGTTCTCTATATAGGCCTAACCATTTTGAGGAAGATACCTTGCCCTTTTCAGTATCTACTCATGTCTACTCTCTCAAAAGAAAGAGACAATTTGACAATGTTAATTTTCATGCTCCCCATCATTGAATAGATTAGGAGCTGATGTTTTAAGCCTTTACGTTTGGGGTATAATAGTCTCTTTATTGCATATTAATTGAATATTACTACAGCATTGTGTTGTTTTCTACTTACTATGACACAGATATCATGATAATGAGCATGGATTACTCTGTCACACTCATGATAAATGAAATCTTGCTGTTCGTATGATTCTGCTATAAATAATACACTGCTTTTGAATAATTCTTTGAATACACATTGCAGATGAAAAATTATCTTCTTGAAACTTGTCTTCTTTTCATTTGGCTGGAGATGTTAAATTATTTCAGATCTTACAGCGTTTCTCTGGTTGCTGTGGGACTTGTTCTGATTTCTGTTTCTCTCAATGATGTGTATATTGATTGATGTGTCTGCAAAATATATCCTTGTGGCAGTATGTGTGAAAGGAATAGCATAATCAGAAATTACTGTTTTGAGGTGGTCAGGGAGAAAATGCTGCTAATTCACTGTCACATGATTAATTTTGAAACCAGAAGTAATTGCTGTGAACTGAGTGAGAATATTACAGTCCAATGACTGTATATTCCCTATGTCATCCAAACAAACAGCATATTCAACCAGAAGAAAAACACTAAGACTCTGTGGCACGGTAGGTTTCAACTGAAATATCAAATTTGCAAACATGATTTCTTTTGTGGTTTTTGTTCCTTTCTAATAAACATATGTGATTTTATTTAGGCTGCATCTGTAAGTAATCTGTGCTGTTTTCTCTTCAAGTTCTTTTTTTAAACCTTTTGAAAAATCAGAAAATATCATTTTTCATTTTCACACATTTACCTTCTGTGGAATCAATAGAAAAGAGAATGCTATTTTAAAGTGTCTGTATTATCCAAAGAGCCTAGAAGCAATAGTCCTTAAATTTAACAAGTGAGTAAAAGAGCTCACCTTACTACTACACAATTTGCAATATGTCTTATTGATTATAATTTCCAGTTGAAGTATCCAGTTTAAAAAGCGTAGACGGGCCCAACAGATATGGGGCATGATGTTCATCCACAACAACAGGAATGATATGTCCACACAGCAACATTATTTCAAAATAACTAGTGTTATTTCGAAATAACTTAGTCCGTGTCTACACAGCAGGCAGTTATTTCAAAAATAATGTCGAATTACTGTCAAGTGGGAGGGCATAATTGATATAGCTCAATTTGCGTGGCTTATTTCAAGTTAAGCTCTGCTGTGTAGAAGCACCTTTCTAAGACTTTCTTTTACAATGTTCTAGCAGGCATAACCACTTGAAGACCCTTTACACTGTCAGCGTGTTGAAAAGGGGCCTAAATATAAATGAAAATCAGGACCATGAGGTACAATAATAGTTTGGTTAGTCGTACCTTATATCAAGCAGACTTATTTGATTGTTTTAATATTAATTCCTGCTACTGTTAAAATTACTTTGTAGCATCTATAAATATTACAAGACAATGTATTGATATTTTTCCATTGAATTGAGGCCTATATGCCCTCCTCCTGCTGTTAAAATGACTTTGTAGCATCTATAAATATTACAAGGTAATGTCTTTCCTTGATATTTTTCCATTGAATTGAGTCCTATATGCCAAGTTACTGTGTGACTTAATTCCCTAAAGAGAAGAAGGTGCTCCTTCTTCAATAGACAGTTCTGACATATAAAAATCTTGATTAGTTCCCATGTGCACATCACTTAAATAGCTGACACCATAAAAAAAGTTTAATGAGATACCAAAAGCATGAAAATGAACACCCACAATGGAAGGCAATGGAATGTACATATTATGTTAGATTAAAAACATTTGAAAAATAGTTTGCAAACCTTTACTGTCAAAAAAACAAGAGTAGCACTCAAATTCAATAAAATAATTCTTAGAAATGTGCATATATCCAAGTAGCCCATACACAGGTATCAGGGAGCTTTTATGACCAGTATGTTCCTTCCTATATGGATACATAGCTGAGGGGACAATCTGGCTCTTAAAGTTAATTTTCTCTATATGCTTTTATATATTTATATTTATATTTTTGCACATAGCACAATAGTGATTATAGTGATATATGAGCAAATCTGTAATGCAAAACATTTTTTTCTTTTTTACTTAAGTACAGTGTTATCTTAGCAAAAACTGGAAGAATGACAAAGCTATGGAGTAGAACAATATATTATTTTTGTAGGTTCAACAAGGACTCTTGTATTTTTTCCTCCTCGAACCCTTTAATTCTAAAGGTGAAAAGTAAATAGGGCCTTGGAAATTATAGGTCATAAGCCCACCCTGATATTTTATCTTTTTTAACATTTTACCAAGCATCTGCTCTCATAACCTTCCCATATGTCGGCCTCCCTATAACCTCACACCAAAATTAACATGATAACATGATTAAATGAAGTTTTCACATTATCACACAAGTCCCTTAGCGTGGGAAGTGAGGTTCATGGACTCACTGAATTTTCACCAATAACCATGAAAAGGAGAGGACAGACAAGACCATATTTAAGAGTGAGGGATCCAACTAGAGTTACTTGATTTGGGGGCTAATACCCTCAGTTACCTTTTGGAGTCCTACCCTGTGGGTTGCACAAGCACATTGAACAGCTGCCAGCATGAGAGCTGTCCTTGGTTCTATCCGCTCCCCTAAAGATCTTTGCAGCAGTTCCCACAGAGGAATAAGTGCTTGGCTGCAAATCCCTGTGATGAATAGACAGGGCTACAATTGTAAATCTTTCTCCTCCACCACTATCATTGCCACTTCCACTGCCTCCTTTTTCTCTTTCTCATCTTCCAGTATTCTTCTGCAGAAATAACAACCAAAAATATTTGCTTTCACAGATTTGCTTTCCCCATACCACACCCATACTACATATTTTTAATTAATCTATGGACATTTATATGTTTCATCTTGTTGATTTTTAAAAAATAAACTTTTGAATAAAAGAAAATTTCTTCCTACAACAGTTACTCTAGGATTCCGGAAAGGGGTCACGAGTCTTGTTCAACTTTTCCGTGACATCTACCTCATCATTTTTCATTCTGTTTGTACTATTTAAGTTTATCTTTATCACCTTCAATTGATAAACATGCTGCTTTTGCCAAGGTACTATATTTTTTATTGTCCAAGATAAGGACAACAAGAACTGTACAAACATCTTGGCAGGTGAAAGTGAAACCTCCATATTCTCCAACAATCACCTGCCAGGTACAAAGTCTGGTTTTTAAAAATGGATAATTTGGAAGGGGCTAGAGACATGTTATTTTTACTATAGTTCTTCCTAGAGGTCCCAGCCAATACTAGAGCCACTTTGCCTTAGGCACACAATGCAAACACATATTTCAGAAACTTCCTCAAAAGAGCTTTCAAACTAAACAGACGGAGAGGTAAGTACAAGGAAGAATCACAAAAGGCAGACGCTGTTCCTGCGGCTTATTATTAAACAATCACAATACCTGCCTCTTTCGGAGAGGTTTTTAATCAGTCAGTCTCGGAGCGCTTTACAAAGGCGAGCAACATTTTTACAGGTGGGGAAACTGAGGCAGGAGGTGGGGAAACTGAGGCAGGAGGCGGGGAAACGACAACTTCTGAAAGGTGCTCAGGTGACAAGTCTGAACACTTAAACAGAAGCCAGCCAGGGCTGCTGCCAAGGCCGTGCGACCGCAGGGCGTCCTCCCCCCGCCGCCCCAGCACCCCCCACTGCCCCGAGCCGCGCGTCCCCCGCTGCCCAGGCGGGGCCGGGAAGGTTCCTCCCCCAGAACCTTTGGCTGCCAGCGTTCTATGGAACGCCAATCGGGAGGCAGGCGCGCATGCGCCCCCCGGGACCGGCTCTCGCGCACCGCGCCTCGCAGCTGTTCCCTGCCTGGCCTCGGCTTGCCCGGCTGCGTGACATCAGCGCCGGGCAAGTCACGACACGTACCGGGCGGCAGGGGGCGGCGCACCAGCTGGAGCAAGAAAACAAGCCCGGGCCGCTGCCGAGCCGCACAGCCCGGCCGGCCCCCGCCCCTCGCTGGGCGCTGAGCCCCTGGGCCGGAGCAGGCAGGAGCCGGCCAGCGGCAGGAAGCCCCGGGAGCTGCTCAGACCAGCGGTGGGCATCGCGGGAGCGCGGCTTTCCCGGGGAGCGCGCTGCCACCCGGCGTGCAGAGGCGAGAGCTGCCCAGCGCTCTCTTGGACCCCCAGCGCTTGCGGGACCAAGGGGGAGGCGCAAGCCGGGGGTGCTAATCGATGTGAGATCCAGCAGCGAGGCAGGGGCATGGGCCAGCCCTGGGCCAACGCGCTGGCCGGCGCCGCTGCGCGCGGGGATGTGGAGAGAGTGAGGGAGCTGCTGGACCAGCGTGCGGACCCCAACGCAGTCAATGTCTGCGGCAGGACACCGATCCAGGTACACGGATCCGCGAACCGGTTCGTAGGGAGCCAGGCGGGAGGCTCACGCCCCGATGGGAGGGGGTGGCACACCGAGGGAAAAGCAAAAGGACGTCAGTGCTGGCGATGCTGAGTCCTTCGCATGCTCCCTTCAGACTGAATGCAGCGTCTCTGAGACTCGGCCCTTTAGAAGCCTTGTTGAGCTATCGCCACACACAGCAGCTCCAAAGTGCGTCAATTGTTACTTTCACCTCGGGCGGACTGTTCGTAGGGTGGGGATGGCTGGGTGCGGGTTGCAAAGCGACACATCTGTCTAGTCCTTCAGAAAGTCAGCCGATCCCATTTCAGTGTTGGTCTTTGCGCTGTTTATTCAACAGGCGCTCAATCATTCTGCAGGCCATGAAATAAATTAAACATGTTGGTATTTGTTTTTGTCGCAT